AAATGATTAAAAATATCTTTTTGTTATTAATGTTTTCTTAAATCAAGACAATAATCTTCAAGTCGCATACAGGAATTTATAATTATGCTATCACTAATCTTGTGAAAAATATATTTAGTTTTCTTTCAAACTTCATTTCAAAAATATTTTTGCACACGATCAATTAATCTTCGCTAGGGCCTGTTTGATTTTTATTTTAAAAGTATTTTTATAAAAAAAATTTAGAACAAAAAAAAAAGCCTTGCTTCAAAATAATTGTTTTGTAAAATAACTCTTAAAACAATATTTTTTTTTATTTTTAAAACTAAAAGTGGAGAATAACCTTGGAATGTTCTCAAAAATTATTTTTTTGGTTTTATTCTTTTCAAACAAATTTTATTGTTCTTCTGCTTTTAAAAGTAATTTTCAAAATCTCTATTGAAGACGAATTTTAAAAGTATACAATAAAATCATATTCAAACATATCCTTATATTCCTCATTTAAAAAATTAAAATTAAAACCCTAAATTTATAATATATGTAGAAATGACTTTTGTTCTCATATTAGGGTATTTTTAGCTTAAAATATTTAAATTATAAATTATATTACTGACTATTCTTATAATATATTAAAACGTAAAAATATTATATATATTTTTCTTTTGGAATTTATGATCTTAATTAGCCTTTGTAATGAGTTAGGTCTCTTGATATTCTCACGATCCAGACAGAAAAAAATAATGCGTGTGCCCAAGTATATATAAGACTAATTCGGAATTAATCAATATAATAATTATTCAGTTTCGACCCAAAATTTTTTAGGCTACACTTACAAATATCTTCAAAAATCAAGAAACCTTTCGGATGGGAATTTGCCCTTAAATTAAAGGTTAAATTTCTCTCGTTTCACAAAGAAGTTAAGTTCTTACACACATAAAATAGAGGTAGTCCTATCTCTATTTTTTTTCTCTTTTCTCTTACTTGTGAGTCCTGATTGTAATATTGTTTCTTTTTTTGTATATCATTGTAATATTGTTTCTGCTACATGACATGATTCTTCTTATTTAGCATGAAAAAATAATTTTCCTATATTAAAATATATGTTTATTTTTTCTGCATAGATAAGTTATCTACATTAAACTTAAAACAATATTGTTTTGAGACATAAATTAAAATATTTTTATAATTATAATTTATTTTAAGATTAATATTTCTTATTATAATTTATTAATTTTTTAACTTAAAATGAAATCATTTTAAAAATGAATATAAATAATTTATCTATATCCATTATATAAACCTTAAAACATTTATCGGAAATACTGAAACCATTAAATTACATACTGAACGGAACTTTTGCGAAGCTATTGTTTTGCGTAAAATGATGTAAAGTAACAGCGTAGTGGCAGGTGCTGGAAGTTAGGGCGTTATTTTAGAGTTTTCTAGGTTTTGTCGCAACGCATGATTCATAAGGAAAGAGACACAGCTCAGCAAAATACCACACAGCACATGACGAGTAATCCGTGCCCCATTATGATGTGTTATTTGGAGCCTATAGGCAAGGAAAGCTGGTAAGAAACGTAACTACATTATATCATCTATTCAAATAATACATCAAAACATTTCCAAACACGTACATCAATTGATAGTGAATTATTTAAAATCAATTATTTTAATTTTGAGTTATAAGTACATAATTATGTTCAAAATTTGATAAAATGTTTTTTGCGGTTTTTATAATGAGTTTTATTAATCTCATGTTAAAAGAGATAAATTACCTCATATCATAGAGATAAATTTGTGGGCTCCACTACTTGAAAAAGAAAAAGAAAAAAGTGACACAGTTTTTAAAAGATGTGTTCGAGAGAAATTTATTATATGTAACGTAATATTAGTTTTTTTTTTTTATTATTTTTTATAACTGTACCTGACTTAAACCGAATAATAAATGAATAATGAAAACTGGAAGAGAAATAAGATACCCAGCTATGCTTAAAATTCAAGTGACGTTCACGTTACGCCTTTTAATGAGGGATGTATAGGTGCATCAAATCTAGACAGTGCATCAAATCCATCAATAGTGCATCAAAATCAAATCATTGGGTTTGCTAGCAATACTACATTGTTATTATTTGCTAAAAAGTCAATCAAAAATCAAAAGATAATAACTTAATTGATGTATGAAAGCATGTGCCTGAGAATATATATACGATCATCTTCAATATTATGTTCGAGAGAAATTTAAAAGTTTAATTTTGGATTCATCCTAAATAAGATTGTCTCTTGTAAAGAATACCTGTAATTTATAAATAAAAAATTCCATCAAAATTATAAAGTAATCATTTTACTAAAAAGTTAAGCTGATACATTATATATCTTTAATAATTTTATATTATATCTTTTTAATATATCTTATCAAGCTAGAATCGTTGGTTTTAATATATCTTATCAAGCTAGAATCGTTGGGACCCAAGAGTATTTTGAGCTTGAAATGTAGATATTGGAAAGACTTATTTTTTTTTATTTTACCTTTTACTAACTTAATTCCATTAAAGAGTAGATGACAATGATGATCGAACCCAGAACCTATGATCACCTTAGCTCTTCCGAGCCTGATTGATACTTCTTTTTTTTTAAAAAAACTAAAAGTTACTTTTAAACTAAAATTAAAAAAAAAAACTTAAAAAATACAGCTAAAAGATATTTGATGATTGTATAAAGTTGTTCGGATAATTCCAAAGGAGTGAAGATGAAATAATTTGTTATAAAGATAAATTATTAGGATAAAGGATAAAAATTATAAATATAATTTAAAATAAGGATGTTATCAAAAAAAAAAAAATAAGGATAAAAATATAAAACAAGTATAAAAACTCAAAAAAACTCTCATACATTTTTTAAAAAATGCCTTCCATAAGGCTTTAGCTTTTAGTTTTTTCTCTGGGTTATGTTTATCTCAGTTTACATTAGATAAACAACTCTCCTACACATACAAAAAGGGGTTGGGTCCCACCACTTTTTTCTCTCTTCTCTTACCTATAGATCCCACTTGTACTTTTATTTTTACAAAATAAGGTGATTTTTTCTTACAACATAAGAAAAATATATCCATTTTTCTTTATTATAAAAAATCTCTTTTTATAAAAAGAGCTTTTATAAAATTATGTTTAAGGAATCTTTAATTATGCTTTTAAGGAAAAAAAAAGTTAAAAATAAGACATGCTAAATAGGCATATATCATATAAAACAATTATTTTATCTAAAATTTTAAGCTGGTAAGTAATAGAAGTTCAATAATTTTATATCATATCTCTCTAACAAAAAATAATAAAAGATATAGAAAAAAAATTGTATAAAATTTGAAGTGTTAGCATCTTTGAAAAGAATAAAGGATTATCCTAGAAAAAAAAAGGATTATCCTAGATTTGGATCTCCAGCACAGCATTAAGTGTTCCCTTACAAAGAAAAATCACAGCATAATAAATTATTAATTACTTTTCTAATTTAATCTTATCTCCTAATATACTAATTTAATTAAATACAACAGTTTTTTTTTAAGAGTTTTATAAGAGTTATGTTGTAGAAAAAGTGATTGTGTAATAATATTATAGAGATTCGTTTTGCGTGCTGTAATTTTTTTTTATTTCAAAAAATGTGAGTCTCACAAAATATTATGTGTGTAGAAAATTTTATTGTGTCATGTTAAATAATAAATGTAAACTTTTTTTAATATAGAAACTCTACCATCCAAACAAATTTGAACAGTTGACAACTCTTCCCAATGCCGAGACACTTTCTGACAAATACCTATATATTTTATGTTTTATAGATACTACATATCTTTTAACTCTTTGGACACCTTCATTCACCTTCTTAATCTTTCTTTGGCATATTTCAAATATATTTAGGATTATAATTATGTTTTGCAACATAAAATAAATTAAATTCTCACACACACACACACAACCCCCCCCCCCCCCCCCCGGTCATATACATGAGTCCCACCTCTATTCTTTTTCTTTACAATTATTTGTGAGTGGATCTTATAAATTTATTTATCAGACATAAAAAAATAGTTTTTTGATTCTTTTGTCCTTCATTAATTAATTAATAATTATTTTGTCCCTTATCTGAAACTATCTACCAATCTGCCCCTCTTTAATCGATTAACTTGAAGATTTAATCGATTAAATGGTTAAAACTGACAAAAATGATTGACTTGAAGATTTAATCAATTAAATATCACTCTTAATCGATTAAATCTCCCTCTTAATTGATTTAATCGATTAAAACTTATATTTAATCGATTAAATATACCAAATGAGCATGAAAGCATTGATTGATTGCACTTTGTATTTAATAGGAGTTGAATGTTTTTGTATTTAATAAGAGCTGATTGCGTTTTATTAAGAGTTGTCATTTTACAAGTTGGTTACAGATTGTCACCAATTCAAATTTATTTGTAATTTGTAATTCTGAGCCTATTTATGGGCAACATTTCAATGAAATAAGTACCAACTTGTAAAATGGCAACTCCTAATAAAATGCAATCAGCTCCTATTAAATACAAAACACAATCAGCTCCTATTAAATACAAACGCAATCAGCTCCTATTAAATACAAATCGTAATCAACTCTTACTAACTTGCTGATTTGCTTCGTATGCAGTCTGCTTTTGTTTATGGAGGAGATTTGACCTTTATTGGCTGTTGGAAGATTTAATCGATTAACTTGAAGATTTAATCGATTAAATCTTCAAGTCATCTAATTTTGCCAGTTTTGATTATTTAATCGATTAAATCTTCAAATTAATCGATTAAAAATGGACAAATTGATAGATAATTTTGATCAAGGGACAAAATAATTATTAATTAATTAATTAATGATGGATAAATTAGTAAAAAAAGCCTAAAAAAAACTCATCTCCTACAAGTTAAGAAAAACATTTTCCTTACATTTATAGCCACTCAATACCATTTCCTTTTCTTCTCTTTTACCTTCTACAGTTTTCTTCACTCACATATTCACATACATCATAAACAATTTTTTTTTTTTTTTTTGGTGAAAACATCATAAACAATTAAATAACACAGATTTTAACACAACACATTATATATATAATCTGCAGTGCATCTGCTACTGTGAAAAGGGGTCTTGAATCTTTGGTTTCAGATTGTTATAGTTGCAAAAATGGTTGGTAACGACAATAACAACAGCAACAAGGAGAAGGAGAAAGACCTTGAGCTTTTGTTTGAGGAGAACGATGAAGATGTCAATGATGATGAACAACAGGATATTGAAGCTGTGAAGTTTGAGAGTGAGAGTAGCAGTGAAGGTGGCAGTGATGATGACGGAAATGATAGAACACAGCTTCAGTCTTTCACTTCTCAGCAATGGCCTCAAAGTTACAAGTACAATCTTCTTCACCATTTGTTTATCTTTTTGCTTTTTTAAATTTGAAAACTTTAACACTTTCTCTGTTACTTGTGTTTCCTCATACCCTTTTGTGTTTGGCAATTTTTTTTCTTTATTCTTTTGTTGTTCCTTTTAATTTTAAATGGCCCCACCCATTTTAAAGCAAATTCACAGCATAATCCTTTGTCATGATTTTAATATTGAAATGTTGTCCTTTTCTAGATTCAACTTTTACATAAAATTTGTTTTGCTTGATTGTATCTGTATGCCAAATTCTTAGATCAATTTTTTAATTAGTGTTTTTCTATTACATTTTCCCCTGATTGACTAAATATGTTTGAATGAAGATGCCATATCTGATGTCCTGTGCAGGTGAACTGTTTTGTGAGAAGGTGACTGAGATTGTCTTGGATTGCATAATAAGCTTTGCTAGAATTGTGTTATCTGGTTTTTGGGGTGCTTCCCTTTTTTCAGTAACTTGAATGAACTCAGATATTCACTATTCTTTTCTTATTGTTTTTCCTCCCTTTATTGTAACAGAGAGACTACAGATTCTTATACAATTGCTGCAGCTCCAAATTTTGAATCAATTCTTCGAGGACCAAGTTTTCTTTATTCCAGTGTTGGCAATCTTTCAAAGAGTAGCTTAGACATAGATGGAAAGACTCCTTTTCTATCTGGTCAGGAAGGCATTATTAATCAATCAACATGGTGGGAGAAAGCCTCAGTGCAAAGGCATTATACTGGAGAATTGCCCATTGGTTATGGATGCAGCTTCACTCAAACAGTTTTCAACGGTATGCTATTTCATTGCAATATGTTTCCTTATCCTTGAACACTATATTTGATATGTGCATGTGCTCTATAAATATTGCAAATTCAGTTCCTAGCTAAAGCATTCTCCTGTTAGACATGAATATGTGTGTGTGTGTGTCTATATATATAACTTCGGGATGACGGATTTAAAGATCAGGATTACTATAATTTGTAATTCTCTATGTATTCTTATTGCAGAATACTACAAGGGATTGAGTGTGTCTTTGGATTAGCTTATTTTGTGCTCTAAATATTTTATAGTCTAAAGCTTATTGAGAGAGCTTTTGAATGAAAAAGAGACTATTCTTAACAAAATAATCAAAACCAAACATGCCATGGAAGGTTGATATTTTTGTTTGGAAAATTTGTTGACCGATTTATGGAGTTTTATTCTATCTGATTCACCTTGTTCCCTTATGAAAGTATTATTCTGTCTACAAATATCTTACCCTACTTGCTTATTTTTTATTTTAATGTGGCCATTTTATGAGGTGATGTTCTACCGTGGCAGGGATTAATGTGATGGCTGGAGTTGGCCTTTTGTCTACACCTTATACAGTGAAAGAAGCTGGGTGGATGAGCATGGCGGTGTTGCTTCTTTTTGCAGTTATTTGTTGTTATACAGCCAACCTTATGAGACTCTGCTTTGAAACTAGAGAAGGAATCACAAGCTACCCAGATATAGGAGAAGCTGCATTTGGAAAATATGGCCGTATAGTAGTATCAGTGAGTTTATTTATTTATATTTAAATCAAGTGAAAATTGTTGATCAAAGCTTGTTACTTGGGGTTGTCTCTCGTGAGACACTTAAGACCATGTTAAGATTAAGAGAAAATGAGAGACATATGTTGAAATCCGTGTGTCTAATTTATACAACGAAGGCTCTCTATTATATAAACTGAATGTAACAATTACAAGAATCTCAAATATCGTAATTCAAGATATTATTACTTATTAGACTATTTACAATAGTCATAAACTTCCCAACATTTACTATGGTCTTAGCTGGTTTTGGTTCATTTTTATCTTTGATCTTTATAAGTTATGTCTTAAGGCTCTAACAGAATGTACAATAAGATGATTTATCTCTATTTGTTGTATAATCTAAATTCATATCATACAGTAGTGAGAAAGAATATTGAGATCTAATATATATTTACTGATGCTGAAATTAGTGCTTTTACTTATCGGTGTTTACTTATGATATTTGTTGCAGATCATTTTGTACACTGAATTATATGTAAGTGCTGCAACCATTTCTTTTGTTTCCTTTGAAAATGGCTATGTTCTATTGCTCTGCACTATATGTACATGATATCTTTTCATGAATGCAGTCATATTGTGTGGAATTCATCACCTTGGAAGGCGATAACCTCACTAGTTTGTTTCCTGGAACATCTTTAGATTTGGGTGGTTTACAGTTAGACTCCATGCACTTGTTTGGAGTTTTGACTGCACTTATTATTCTCCCTACTGTTTGGTTGAAGGATCTTCGTATAATATCTTTTCTATCAGGTTCTCCAAAGTCTAGAAAAGATTCTTTCTGTTTTCAGTTTTTACAACCTAACATGTCCTTATTGGAACTTTTATTGTGATTTGCAGCTGGAGGGGTTGTTGCAACCCTTTTGATTATTATTTGTTTGTTTAGTGTTGGTGCAACAGACAGTGTTGGATTCCATCACACTGGTCCATTGGTAAATTGGAGTGGCATTCCATTTGCTATTGGTATCTATGGGTTTTGCTATGCAGGACATTCAGTTTTTCCAAATATATATCAGTCTATGGCTGACAAAAAACAATTCACCAAAGCACTAATAACATGGTATGGTACCTAACTTCTCTGTCACTGGCAAAACATATCTGATTTCTTCTTTCTGATTCCTCAACTCATTTCTTTGCATACAGTTTTGTTTTGTGTATTTTGATATATGGAGGCGTTGCAATCATGGGATTTCTCATGTTTGGCGATGGCACTTTGTCTCAGATAACATTGAATATGCCACCTGGTGCATTTGCTTCCAAAGTTGCATTGTGGACAACAGTGAGTTTGAGAATTTTTGAGTATCTTAGTGCTATTTTAATAGTTTCATTCTCGTGAACAATATTTTTACTAATTTTGTGTTTCTTTCTCTTCTTTCAGGTAATTAACCCTTTGACTAAATATCCTTTTTGTCACAAATAGTAGTTTATGAAACTCAAAAAATATTGAGATTGCTTGATCAAATTATTTTAGTTTGACTTTTCCTTAATAGTAAACAAATATGCTTTGTTGATGAACCCACTAGCAAGAAGTCTAGAGGAGTTGCTACCAGAAAGAATTTCGAGTACTTATTGGTGCTTCCTTCTTCTTAGAACAGTACTTGTTGCATCTACAGTTTGTGTTGCTTTTCTTATCCCCTTTTTTGGTAAGTCTTATAGCCTTTGTCTCTATAATACATTAATTTTAATATGACCTCTCAATTACTCAAGGACACTTTAAGAAAATGATATAGCTTTCTGTCCATAGACTTATATTCATATTTTCTTTTTCCTTTTGTACAAGTTAAAGTGGGGATATTATGATAGTATATGTTCATATTGATATGTATTGTATTCTTCAGTTGCCCTTTCTGCTTTTATCTTATTTTATTTTTTTCAATCAAAACCAAACTGATGAAGTTTGTTTTTAGCATTTTTGAAACCAAAATCGTGAGCTTTGTCAAACTGGCCTCAAACTTGTTAGCTTGGCCTGAAACAAATAAAATACATCAAAATATTTTTTTTTGGACAGAATTCTTCGTTAAATATGAAAACTGGTAATGTGTCATATGCACTAAATGACACTAATATTCTTGTGATGTAATTTCAGGGCTTGTGATGGCTTTGATTGGTTCTCTCTTCAGTATACTTGTGGTAAGCAAATACTTCTTGTGTGTGTCTAATTCTCGATTGTAACTGCGGACCATGCACGTGCCTCACACCAAAAGCCAAAATATTAAATACCTTTTTTGTTTTACATGATATGGAGTTTCACTGGTTAGTGAAGGGAAAAGCTTTGTTTTTTATGACATATTGTGATTGTAGTTTATGATATTCAATTTAATATTATTTGATGCTTTGTCAATCTTTGTTTGTGAATATCAACTTTGTAATACTACTTTTTGATCCAAGAGGATTGTGATTAATGTGAGATATGTGGACTAGCGGTGTCTATGAAGAAGATAGTCTAGGTGGTGGCATATCTCTGTGCACATTCAATAGGTAGGAGGAAAAAGGGGTGGTGTGTGTGCACAATGATAGCAAGATATTAGGGTTCGAGAAGAAGTGCATATATAAGGTTTAACCCTTTATTTATAAAGGGATTTACCTTATAATGGATAAAATCCTTAACCTCAAAAAGCTTGTGGGGCTCAAAAACGTAGGTCCAGAACATAATTGTAGACAAAAAATGGAAAAGGGAGATAAAAGATTACTTTGTCTTCTAGTATTGTGCTTTTTTTGAGTTTACATTTTTCGTCTTAGCATTTATGCATGAAACAGTGTCACATCACAAATAGAGTTCCTTGCCTTGTATTCAACTGATCCTAACATTGTGACGGAGCATGCTCTGCTGCACATGTTTATTTCTTGTCCAAATTTATCTGTTTATTCAATTACGGCTGGCAAATGGGCAGGGTTTCTCAAAACTTTGAGGAGGACTAATTGAGCATAGTTGTTTGGAGAAATATACTTATGCATAGTTGTCTTTTGATTCTTTTGCAGTATATAACTTGCATCTATGTTTATAATGTTTGTTAGCATTAACTTGACATGATGTAGATTCAACTACAGTCCTTTGTGCTTTATTGTTATTGTTTCAATTTTTTGTGAGGAATTCCAATGAAACTGCTATCTAATTTGGGGTGTGCAAAATTTTTCAGTCAGTGATAATGCCAAGTTTATGTTTTCTGAAAATTGTGGGGAAAAAGGCTACAAATACCCAGGTAACGGTGCTACTGATCTTGCATTTAATTTTTTATTTTTTCTTTCATAGTACCGTAGATGTAATGAAAATTTTCTGGTAATTTTTTACACTAACCAGAGCATAATTTCAGACTAGATGTTGCTACTGAGTTTTAATATATTCTACTACTGAATTACATACTACAAAAAATGAATAATCAATGTTTCATGTTTGTTGTAACTTGTAACTTCTACATAGCCAAAGACAAATGCATGCATGTTTTTAATGTTTTCATGTCAGATTCTTCACATCTATTGCAAGAGGAAACAAACCTAAAACATCTGTATTTATTTTTTGTAATTGAATTTCAAAGCCATGAGGGCGAGCCTTCCGGCAGCACTAAGGTTCCTTGTGACCTTCCGGTGACGGGTGCGTGTTAGAGAATCAATCTCTTTGCAAAAATGTAAGGAGAAGATTGTGTACTTGTGTACAATAGATCCTCTCCCAACCCTCGCAAGTAGGGGAGCTTGTGGACTGGGGTTTGGCTTTTTGTGTTTTTAACATCAAAGCCTTGTTTTCTCTTTCTCGCACAATCTTAAACTGCTAACTGCATATGCTGTACCAAATGCCAAATATAAGTGAACTTGTAGTATAGAATAATAATGCTTGTTAGAATTATTCAAGTGTGAATAGTAGTAAAGTCCAACATCAGTTAATGTCAGGCGGGTCTAGGGGGAAGTCCGTGGCATGGGACATCACTAGTGGGCTAAGTTACACCAACCGTAGCAAGCGGATCGGACACTATATCTCAACCCAAAATCTTAAGGCTTTGGGTTGAGATATGGTGTCAAACCCTACTTGGTGTATTTGATCCACTTAGCCCATTGATGGTAGTCTCCTGCCACGGGGTTCTCCCTAGACCCGCCTGACAGTGGTATCAGAGTCGGGTTGTGCTCGAGCTAGCCTGGTGAATGGCCAAGAGGCGGATTGAGTACTTGGGCCCTGGGGTACTCGATTGAGGGGGAGCATATCAATGTTGGGATTCACACTTGAGTTGAGGGAGAGATTGTTGAGATATTCAAGTGTGATGAGTCTCACATTGGTTGGTAATGAGTTAAGAGTATATAAGTGGAAGGACACATAAACTCAATGCCTTAAGATTTTGGGTTGAGATGTAGTGTCGGAGCCGATTGCTACGGTTGGTGTAGCTTAGTCCATTGGTGGTGTCCTCCGCCACAGGCTTCTTCTGGACCTGCATGACAGTTAAACATGTGTTGACTCACTTATTGTAGGTTGTCGCTTGTTGGCCAATTGATGGAGATTCCTTTTGGGCTCCCCCGTACCATTCTTATCAATATTATCCCCTAACTAGCTTTCCTATTCCTTCTATTTTGCTCAAGTTTTTTCTTTCCTCACATTTTTAGGTTGCACTGAGCGTCACAATTACTGCACTGGGAATCATTTGTGGGCTCCTTGGATCATATTCCTCTCTGTTGAATATTGCGGATAGTTACAAAGACTAAAGCCATTTGAATTATTGTGGTGATATGACCTTTCTTTCGTGCGAAAAAAAGGTTCAAAATTTCCACCGAAATATGCATGTCTTGTTGGCATTGTGTCCTAAAATAATCAACATATGCTCTCTCACCCTTGTAGTCCGTGATTTGTTGCTTGGGATTTGGTTTAATTAACGAGGCTTTTTAAGCCCAAAACGGGGAGGGAATAGACTTATGGACATTGATATTATGACATTAAGCATAACAATGACATTGGCTGAGTTAAAGCTAAAAATGAGCATGAACTTTCGAAAAATTACCATTCTTTGTTTTGTTATTTATTTTTATTTTTCTAAGAGATTTCTCTATTAGTTAATCAATTGATATACTATAATCCAATCGAGTATCAAGTTTTAACACAATTATATACTAAAGATTTAAACTCGAAATCATTGACTTGGTTGAAACAATTTCGTGCTAATTGATCTGTGGGGTAAGTAGATGGTTATCTTTATTTGGTTTCCCCCTTCTTTTTAAGGATAATATGAATATAATATTGTAAGATGCAACATAGGTCATGTTGTAGACTCAAAAAAACATGGGGCTCACTTCAAAAAAATTTCTCTTGTGAACAAAATGGATCCCATGTTTTTTTGAATCTACAACATGACCTGTGTTGCATTTTACAACAATATACTCATATTTCCTTTTTTTAATGTATGGAAAAGAAAGAATATGGTAGCATTCAAAAGGACCAGTTGTTTGTAGGTATAGTAGTGTTTTTTTTTTCTTTCACATATGAAATATTTAAATTCAATATCACTAATTAAATTGGAACAATAGTGTGCCAATTGATCTGTGTGCTAGATGTTGTCATAATTTGGTTTTAAAAAATAATGACATAAAACAAATCACATTTAGTCGTGATTATTTACAAAAGCTTCCGTTTTTTTATGTATGAAAAGGAAAGAATATGGTAGCATTCAAAACAACTGGTTGTTTATAAGAAGTGCTTTAAGAAGAATCACTTAACGATTTTTTTTTTTTTTTGACCTACAAGATTGCGAATTAATTCAAGATGTATTCTTTTATATATGGAAAGCTATAAAATAGGAATTGAATTGATTTGTTTATGAAATATTTTGTTTATGAAATCCATTTCATGTTAGTTGTTCGTATGTAATTCAAATATGTTAGGATTTGAAAAGACGTTTAGTCTTTATTTGTTACGTTTGATTAATGGATTTGATGTTTGTCATTTTAAATGACATAAGTTATGTCAGTTTAAGAGAGATAGATACAGAAAAACGGAAATCATGGGAGAGAGAAAGTGGGTAGTTTTTTTAATTTAAAATTCAAATTTTCTGTGTCTGTATCTCTCTTAAAATGACATAACTTTTTGTCGTTTAAAATTACAAACACTTTTCCCTTCATTAATATAATTTTTAAATGATTTCAAACACAATTGTAACTGTATAAAACAGTCATAGACTTTTCAAGTGAAGTTCTTCGATCATTCCTAACTGAACCAACCCCTAATATCAATTATGTACGAGTGCCTAATGTACAACCTTACAAATGTTTTTTTTTTAAAATAAATAAATAAATCAAATAAAAGCCTTAATATAATTTTTTGTTATATTAATTTTAACTGAATTCACTTCTAAAAATCGTGAAGTCTCTCTCTCTATTCTATTTCAAAGTACATCTGGCACACCAATTTCGTGCATTTTGGATAATAAAATTCCTCAATTACTAGCTCAAGATTTGAACTAAGGTAATCAAGGAATGAAGCATAGGCAGTCTCCTTAATTTTAAAATGATTTAATGTATGGGTAATGCTATTGTCATGTTACACGACAACAAAATGACTTTCCTATACCAAATGGTGGTAGCTCAGTTGGCGCATGAGAGCTGAGCAGGTGGGGGTGAGGGCATGTGTTTGAATCTCCCCAGTACCACCTTTGGGAGGGGTTTAAAGCTTTAATCCTGGACCTGCCCCGAATCGGACTAATCGCGAAGCGATGAACCGATGAAATATTTCCAAAAAAAACAAAATGACTTTCCTATAGAGACATTGGATAGATGGATTTTAGGGAAATTTTTTCTCTCACCTCATTTTCTCTTCTCTCTCCTAAATTTTTCTCTCTGCAAGAAAGTGATTTTATTTCTTGTAACATGACAATTGTATTACCCTTAATGTATTGTATTTGCTCATCCTCTTTGATCTCAACTATAAAATATAAGTTAATGTGTTTTGACCTCCATGATAATTATAGCCGAGGACTTTGAGGGCATTGTCAAACACTGTTGGGATCATGACTCCCATTGATTGTCAAGTCTCTCTTAAGTTTCAAGAAAATGTATTGAATTGGCATGATAACTCTTTCAAAGCCATCCAGAGACAGAAGAATCGTTTGTAGGAAGGCTGAGAGACATTGACTCATAACTTAGCCTTCATTCGAATGTTAACTTAAGAGTCCTTCCAAAAGGCTCAATAGAGGGATCTTAAAACCATTCTAATTAGAGAAGAATTAGCTTGGTTCCAAAGAGCTCGATGTGAGTATGGAGATAAGAACACCATATACTTTCACTCAACAATTGTTGCCAAATGAAGAAGGAACAAGATTACTACCATTGATGGGCCTCTATTCTAGCCCTATCACTGGCATTCCTTTACAGGGAAACGTTCCTTGTTGGTGTTCCTTGTTTGCGATTTTTAAAGAAAGTCATGAAAACGTAGTAAATTATATTGTTCATGGGATAGATAGAGACAAAATGACAAAAGTTAGATAATGATATAAAAAATTAGAAAGAATGAGTTATACTTCACCATTTTTCAAATTTGCTAACTTTTGTTTTTTTCTTTTTCAATGTGGACAAAAAGATTCTCCAAAAAGGTGCCTACTATGGCAATCATGATGTCAAAGTAGAAAAAGTGGAGAATCACATAAAAGAGGAGAAAACTGTTGCAAAGTGAGAGAGAGACAGAGACAATAACAACCGAAGGAAGCTCAGATGCATCATCAAAGAAGAAAAAGAAAAATCTTGATCGAACGGTGAAAAACCAATGGATCCAATTGCTGAAGACCCATTCATTTTTCCTTCACTATAAAAGGAAATGAGGAAGAGTCCAGAACAGAGTCTTTTCACGCCCTCTCCTTCCTCGTGCACCATTGTCTTCTCCAACTTTCCCTGCTTCATTTTTTTCACTTTCAATCAACTTCTGCAGCAGTAGTATAGGATTTCAGTGTTCTTGTGTTTTCAACGTCTTTTCATTATTTTATGTAAATCTTCCTCATCTTGATTTCCAACAATCTGTAATGGAAATTCTGGTGGCTGGAACATTTTCTTTCTTTTTAGCCATTTCTGTTGACATAAGCTAATTTTCTTTTAGGAATAGATAAGTAGTAGCAGTTAAAGATGACTGTAATTGCAACTCTATTATTGATTTCAATGGAATTCAGATGTTTTGTTCATCTTTTGTTACATTTTAATGGAAATTAAGATTGTTTGAGAAATTAATTTTCAGAAGCGAATGATTTTGAACTGCGGAACATCAGTTGGGAGGTGAAAGTGCAGAAGAACTTTCATTGGTTGCCTTAGGAATAAGGAACATCCCAAGTTCCTACATAGCTTCGATACAAACCAATTTGGGAACGAAATTGCAAGGGAACACGTGATTTCAAATACCATTTAGCCCAAGTGCTTGAGGAATGTATGGCAATGAAAAGTAACCAGAACAATTTTGTTGAATAAGGTGTTGAGCCAAGGTTACAGCCGATCAGTAATGAACTAGTAAATCCATTCCTTTTTGAAAAGAAGAAAACTTAAAAAAAATATTTTCATTTCTAAAATATTTAGTTTATTGCACAATACAATTTCCAATGATATTTGATTTCTATTATTTGTTGTTCAAGGTTACAGCCGATCAATAATGAACTAGTAAATCCATTCCTGTTTTAGTTTATGATGCTCCTTACTTTTACATTCTATCTGTTATTATTCTATTGACATTTTGAAAAGAAGAAAACTTAAAAAAAATATTTTCATTTCTAAAATATTTAGTTTATTGCACAATACAATTTCCATGTGATATTTGATTCCTATTATTTGTTGTTCTTCCTGCCAAAGGAAGGACATAAATATATAATGACGCGAGGAACTAATTATTTTGAACTTTTTGTCATAGTGAGAACACCATTGTGAGAGCAAGGAACGAGTAACTTTCGATAGTCCATATTCTTTTCTTAACCATTCTTTTATACTTGCAATTTGTTTAGACTTTACATAGTTTAGTGATTTAATATAGTGATACTTTCTCCGTGGGATGATAACTTGGGACTCTATACTTCCCTTTATTACTTGGACATGTGCGCTTGTGCAAGTGAAATCATCTAAAGATTTCTCCTAGGTCATTCGTGAGCCAACAACCATCAATGATGATAATTGAAACACCCCATTCTAGAATCGATTTGTTAACATTGCATATAATATTAAGTGCAATTACAATCACAACAATTGAATTAAAATTACATATTTTTCTTTCTTTTTACTTTCTTGCACAAATATTGGTTTTGTACTCAAATAATTCAAATATTTAATTGCAACTTATATATAATGCAGAAACATCTTATCTTTGCTTAACAACATTAACATTGCAACCCCCATAAGCTAACATGGTGAGAAACTTGCTTTTTTGTTTTTATATGGGAAAGTGTGGCATTCCCAATACATGGTACGTTCCCATGACTGGTGGCGTTCTAACTCTGGGGTTATTCCCACTTTGGGGTGCGGAACAATCTTGATAGCAAGCGAAACAAGATTTTCTGGCTGCATCTGTTTCACTCTAAATTGGGAATGCTATGCTGCCCAAAAAATACTCAAATTTGTAGACAAAACATTAGACATCTGTTTCACTCATATATGATATGCCCCATTTGGTTAAGAATTGGGCAAGTTTTGAACATTTTAAGATGACCATACTTGACAAGATAAAAATTTGACAGCACTTAGCTGCACTTAAAGTGTAGGGAAACCTTCCTAGACTCATATGACACCTGATTTAGCGTTTCTATACATTCACAGGTGTTCCTCATGTACATTTCTTCTCATATTCATGCATTTTTTCATACTATGACATTTATTCTTTTTCATAATTTTAACTCCATGACTTATACATTAGATGGGTACCAAAAATGGTTAGTGTAACAACCCGTTGTACACCGGTATTGTTAACATTGGTTATGAAATTAAGCGCAGTTATAATAATAGATGTTCATTTAGAAATGTGAGTAAACTTTTTCCTTTTCATTACGCAAGCGTTTTGAAAATAATAATAAAACATAATGACATGAACTGTGATCATAACTGAATCTAAACGCGGAATAAATAAAATAAAAGCCTAACTATCATACATTGCTTATTTTAAGTCATTTAGGGGTTCCTCTAAAACCACTTAGCATAAATCTCACTTTTACGATTTTTCCATAACCGATCATGCTTTAGTCTTTTGGACACTGTACGAAATCAGCATGCTAAAAACCTCTCATCTTTTAGTATGTTATTCTAGACCCAGTTATCTTTCCAAAGAGGTATCACAGGCCTCATAAAGTTCTCATTTGCTCCTGTTATCACTGTTTGAAGTTGGATAAGCAAAACTGCCAGCCAACCCCAAACAGGACACCAAACATACCTCACCATTTCTGCGATTCTGGACAAACCACTCAACCAATTGCTCTAAAATTTTTATAAAGTACACTAGACACCTTAAGCTTTAATTTGACATATCATGAGCCTAATTTGAGTAAGAATTGAGGGAAAAACAATTTTTTGCAAAACAGGGACCCGACAGCCCCCATGTGCAGGGCCAGTTGGGCAATCTTCACTCAAACGTGTCTACAGCTTTGTACATAGCTCCAATTGCTACCAAATATTGACACATCATATTTTACTTGTCAAGCTACAAAATTATGTATGGTACGTCCCTATTGGACCTTTGTGGAAGGAGATATGCTCTCCCAAAGTCAGCCTAAAAATTGTCATTTTAGTATAAATTTTGGTGGCACCT